CTTGCTTTCCTTTTAGGATTCTGCCTTTTCCTCTCTGCTGAATGGAGCCGCCACCTGACTTGCCCAGAAATGGCTGGACATCTTCCCTATAGCTGCATCTTAGAACCACAAACGGTGGTTCTAAGTGGAACCCCTTGGCACAGTCCATAAGACCTTCATGATAAGGACCTAAGTGAGCACCCTGTAGGACTTTTCCAGGCATATGATCCCACCCCTCGTCCCCCAGAAGACCGCAGTGAGTGGAAGCCTAGATGCTGATTGGTTAGTTACCGTCCTTATTCCTTCACCCTTTCCTTACAGCTCTTAGACTAGGCTCCTGACCTTGCTGGTTATCAGTGGCAGTGGATATTCTTGACACCTAATCCTTTTGCCTTTAATGCTGCTTCTGGAACTGGAGGAGAAACCAATCAGGAAGACTTCAAAGTGAAGCTGGAAGGCGGGGCGGCTCTGGGAGCTGCCTCCAAATACAGTGGGCTCCCCCAGGAGGAAACTAGCTCTTTCTATGATTGATAGTGGGGACAGGGAGAACACAGCCAGGGTCCTCACTCTAGAATCCATTTTCTCACCAAATTCTCAGGCTTCCCCCTTACCTTCCCTCCTACTTCTTTAACTCCCGCTACATCTTCCGTTGCTACTGTCACCTCTCAGAAGACTGACTTCCCTGAGAGTCCCTATCCTCATCCCGTGCCAGCCGGGGCCTATTCCAACAGCCTTCTAAAAGTGCCAGCCCATCCATAAACACCAGGTAAAATAATAAAGGCTTTGTCTCTTCACCCATGTTCTCGTCACTGGTGTTGTGGAAGTGTGTTTACGGAGGCTGTGTGAGAGCGAAGAGGAGGGGCTCTGCCTTCAGCCGCCTCTGCCCAGAACAGGGACCCAGCTATGCCTGTGTTCTGCCCTCTCTGTTCCTGGGTGGCTTTAGAACCCTTGAGGAACAAGCACGCCCAACCCCCTGAGCTTGAAGGGATGTTGTTAGGCAACCAGGAAATGTGGTTGTCATTAAGAGATGGGCTGGGTATCGAGACTGCATGATTGGCAGATAAGAGCAGAGGGCACACACCAACATTTAGATGGAATAGCTTGGAAAACAAGATGCCACCATCCCAATGTTGGGTGTGGCGAGGTTTTAAGATGGGGGTTTTGAGTCCTTTTCTGGGGTAGGAAGGGCTTCTGTAGCCCCCTGTGTTTTGTGTGTGTGGGTAGTCTCTCCTCACCGCTGTAAGTGGAGAGGCATCCTATGGAGGAACAGTAGAGGTGACCCGCTGCAGCCTCAGTCCTGGGGATGGAATCAAGTCCCAATTATCAGTGTTCTTCCACTATGTCAGTCAGCAGCCACAGCTTTCTGTGCAAAGTGTGCAGGAAGCCGGAGGATGAGGCAGTGGGGAACAGCTTAGCAAGGCTGTGCAGAAATGGAGCACCAACATTTCGTCCACACCCATGCTCCTACCTACTTGCCTTCTGATTTATTATTCAGCCTCCTCTCTCCCAAAGCCAGAGTTCCTCTTCGAGCTCATGTCTGCTCTCTGACCTGGAATCTCACTGCAAACAAACGGGACATCACTCACTGAGGAGGCCTCTTACTTCCTCCTACCCCAGGCCCAGTCTCCTGAGACCCCACCCCACCCCATCCCTTCCTACTCTGGCCCACTCCCGCCCTCCCTTGATCACTCAATCTGACCCTCACTCTCACTGTTCTTCCCCCCCCCCCCCCCCCCCCCCGCACTCCACCCAGCCTTGTCCCTCCCTGACTCACCTCAGGTCCCATTGTCACAAACAAAAATTTCAGCATAAGCCTCTCCAACCGGTTTGGCTAAGGTGTGCAGCCTTCCATGGGGACTGAGACCAGTTGAAGTTGCTTGGACACACGCAGGTAATATCCACATGGATATGGACAGAGGCAGGCCCGTGTATATTAGCAACACACAGAGACACGCAAAGGAAACGTGATGGTAAGGTGTCATGTGTTGGAGATATATGTGTCTGTCCTCTCCTGACCAAGGGGCCCTTGAGGGCAGGGATCATATGTCCTATGTCTTTGTCACCTCCCTTGAGCCTGACACTTAAGCGTCTGTTGATTGAATGTGCACTTGCAGTCATGCCCTGTGATGCTGCTCAGACGAATGCATGTGCTAAGGATGCCATCTATCATGGCTTGAATTGTCCCCATTCTTCGAGCTCAGAATGCAGGTGGGAGGAGGGTAGGTAGTGAGGCATGAGGGGAATGGGGAGTCAGTGTTGAAAGAATTGGGCTCTGAATGTAGGCACTGGTCCTGAAAGGTTTTCATAACCATTATTTTAGTATATAGTCCCTGACCTGCAATATGGCTTCCCTAGGACTTATCTCAGAAGAGGATAGAAAAGGCCTGAATATAAAGCATATTTCTCAGGAGTGTGGTCCACGTGAAACATTATAGGACTAAGGGAGAGAGGACTTGAAGATAAATATTTGTTAGATGAGGAAAGAAAAATCCCAGCTAAAGGCATGGATGGCCACCTTATTCTCTCTGCCCGTGGCACTTGCAGCCCCCAGTTTAAGGTTGTTTACTAGGGCCTGACCATATCCACGAAGATGGGGTGTTCATTACCTTAATACTGCCTCAGAGAAGTCCTATTCCCCTTTAGTGATTTAGGGTCCCAGCCTCCAGGGGCTCAGAGATACTCTGGCTGGTAGCCCTCTGAGGGGAAGAGTATATTGTGAATAGATCCACCCCAGCGGACTGGATACTCACTTTGTGGTCTAGCTGCTTTCCCACCCCCATGCCTCAGTTTCTCCCGTGATTTCCTGTACCTAGAGGGATGAATCCGTGGGAAGGAAAGAGCTCCTCTGACAGCATGTGATAGGATCCAAAGTGTGATAATTATAATTATAACACAGGATGCTCCCCCTCCCATCCCCCTGGCCCTACCCCACCCCTGCCACACTGGATCTCAAAGGAGCATCGGGGTGGGGCTGTTCCCCTGGCATAGGCGGGGACCTGGGTCCTGAAGAGGGGAAGGGGTTTGCCAAGGCGGAGGTGGAGAGAAATTAAGGAGATTTGGCATCCAGCCTGACCCTTAAATCTGCCTCTGACCCGCAGGAAATAGCCCTTGAGGAAGAGGCCACTATCCTAATCACTGCTGAGAGGTAGGGTCCAGAGAGGGGTCTACTCTATGGGCAGCGTTAGAGCCTAGATTGCAACCCAGGTTCAGGATGGGAACATGATTATTCGAGATCTCTGCCTGCTGACCCTCCGTCACCATCTTCTCCGGACTGACACTGGTTGATTTAGACATGCAGGCCTTCCTAAAACAAATGCACTCACTCCCCACTGGGGTTGTGAGCTGCCCTAGCATGGCTGACTGGGCAAAAGTATAAAACGAGCCCGACCTTTAAGTACTTCACAGAGGGCAGCTGCCATCCTTTCCCTCGGTTTAACGAGTTTACTGTTAAATCTCGGGCATGCAACAGGCCTCAATCAATGGCTCTTGAATTAAAGCTTACAATTTAGTTAAGGAGATAAGATGTGCACAAATTATGAGTGCACAAGCTATAATAAAGAGACTGGCAAGGACCGAGGAAGACGAGAAGAAAGGTGGGAGGAGCCGAGAAAGCTTCAAGGGAGATATGGCCTTTGAGGTCAGTTTTGAGAGATGAGCAAGACTGACAGGTAAGGGAACTGAGGAAGTGGCTTGGTGGTAGAGAGCTTAGCTTGTATGCACAAAGCGCTGGTCCTAAGCCTCCACCTAAAAAACAAACAAGAAAACGAGAACTGGTAGAGTTGGGGAAAATCTCCTACATTAATAACCTCCCCCGTTATTGATACTTCTTTCTTCTTTTCTATGCTTCTGGACACGAGAACTGTGTAACCTCTCTATTCTCTTCCCCTGGGTTTATTTCTACATGCATATGTCTTTTTAAAGTTATTATTATTATTATTTGAGGTAGAGCCTCATATAGCCCAGGATAGCCCAGAACTCTGTGTAGTCAAAACTGCCTTCACCTCCCAAGGGCTGGGCCTGTGGAGATGCACCAGCATGTCTGGCTTTTACCTGTCTGTGAAATTCCAGTCTGCCAGCGATCCCGCCTCCCTCTTTCAGGGGATAGATATGTACCCCTTCTTCCGGCTCTCTAGCTGTCCCTTGGTTACTTTTATTCACCCAAATTGGAAATATGTGATCAGATGAGCATAAGAGTTACAGGGGTACAAGGATAGAGTGAAATCCTCGCCAAGTCCAGACACATGTCCATGGGGGGGCACACCATAGAGAACGAGGAAAGCCCCCCCTGTTTGGGTTGCACTGATGCACTTTTAAAACTCCTGCCATGGGTTAAGTTGTTGAGCGAAGGTTCTGAGAGGAAAAGCAGGAATTCACAGGGCTAATCCCCTGGTCAGCCCCTCTTCCTCTCCCATGCAGGGGTGGGCTAGAGGAAAGCAGTGAAGTTATTTCTCAGAGGGTTCTCTGAACTAACTTTCTGCTTCCAGAAAATCACTAGACTAACTTGACTGTCCTCTAGCAAGTCCATCCTCCTATTTAGGCCTTCTGAAGCATGAGGTAGATGGGCCAGCGGGCCAGGGACCTCCTCAGTTCTCTGATTCTGTGGCACCAAAAGTGAATCCTTCAGGAGTTTGAGGAACTTGTCAGGGACCCCAGGAAACAGCTGACCTGGCTGTCATATGAAAGGGTTGGGTGCTTTTTCAGACACATCTGGTGCTTCCGTCTTTAAGACACCCAGGCCTCCTTGTTCCACGCCCCCTGCTAGAGGCTCACCACCACCCTCACGCTGCTGTCCATGGCCTCACAGGTAAAGCCCCTGTTACTGATGAGATCCCACTGCCCGCACCCAGATTCGTCCCTTCTTCCCTCCCTCCTTGGCGCCCATTAGCTAGCCCAGGCCGTGGGGGCGGTGGCTGCGGAGTCTCCTCTCTGTGCCAGGCCCGGCCCCCAGAGACGCACCTGTTCTGACCTGCTTAGCAGGTTCCCAGGTTTCTGCCTTCGTTGTTGGCCACGGCGTGGGAAGCAGCTCTGGGGGAGCTCAGGGCTCCCGATCACGGCTTCTTGGGGGTAGCCACGGCTGGGTGGGTAGAACTGGGGCCTGGGTCCCCTAGTGGAGACCCAAGTGGGATAGGCAGGCACGTTAGTGCCTGGGGACTCCGTGACTTCCTGCCTTCTGGGTCAGAGCTTTACACAGCTCCAGAACCGGCTCCCAGGGAGAACTCCGTGGAACTCAGAATCACTGGCCAGGTCTGCCTTTCAGCCAATGCCCCTGTCCCTGGGAGCCGAGATGTGGGGCCTTGAAGCCTGGCTGCTGCTGTTGTTCCTGGCATCGTTTACAGGTAGGACTTGCCTGAACCGTCAGGACTCTTGCTTCTGAGCTCTACCTGGCAGAGACAGGCACACACACACACACACACACACACACACACACACACACAGACTTACACACGAATGTACCACATACCCAAACATTCCCTTTCCTTGGACTCCGGATGGAGAAGACAATCTCTCTCTCCTGTTCATTCCACTTGCCATCAGTGCCCTCAAAAGAACCAATGTAGCTCTTTCTTCTCAAGTCTCCTCTCTGTCCCAAGACCAAGCCACTTAATGTCTGCAGTCCCTAACCACCTCTGCTAAAGCCTTGCTTGCCAAGGCCTTTGTAGATACACACACGCACACACGCACATACACACATACGCACACAGGGCAGGTGGGCTGAAAGGTGGACTCCGAGAACCCTGCTTACCCCAGGGCTTCCTGAAGGCTTTGTGGCCTACCCACTGGGCTTCAGACCTGCCTCAGCATTCACCAGGAGCAGGAAACCTGGTGTCTGGGGAGTGGAGGGGCATTTCTGTCTCCTTCTCCTCTCATAGTAATATTCTGAGCGCAGGATTGAGGTGCTCATTGTGGGATTACAGGAAAGCCATGAAACGCCTCTCACCCTAGCGCCTCTCCCTCCCTGGCACACACTAGTAGGTGGAGAATAATGGTGTGTGTTTCTTACACAATGGGGGGATGTTAAAGGGTAAAGGGTCTTCTAGATGAGATGCGGTCCACTTTTATTCATTTATTATCTTTCCATTTCCTCTGTTGAATGCCTATACAATACTTAGACTTTCTGCTTGCCTAATATAGCCAGAACATACATAAAACATCAGAATGTATCATTGTCAGAGCGAGAGGGACAGAATATGTGTGCAAGGAGACCAAAGTAGGATGCTATTGGCTGTTGCTGGGGAAGGAATAGCTAAGAGCTCTTTTTCCTCAGAAAGACAGGGCCTTGTCTGCAGAGGACAGTAGGGTCCTCAGCTCAAGAAACAGAAGCAGGGACTATCAGTTGTCCAGCAGCACTTGGTGACTCTCTCCCCACCTCCATTCTCAGTTGAAGCACACACACACAAGGCATAGATGGAGAACAAGGCATAGATGCCTGGATTGGAAGGCTTGAGGTTGCCCTCACTCTGGTCTTGTAACAGAAGGGTCAGTGGGTCACTCTCCAGTATCAGAACGCTAAGCTCCAACCTCTGCCATCTGCCCTTACCCTCAGCCCCTGCCCTTAATTTCCATTTTCCAGATAGCCCTTTTCCCTGGGTTAAGCCAAGAGGGTGGGGCCTCCTGCTGGGCCAGGGAACCCAACTGACACTTTCCTGGGGAATCTACCTACCCCTGAGGAATGGAGTCATGCTGTCTCAGGACTTGGGTAGGACCAAAGAGATCACTACTCCAACTCCTTCATTTTAAAGATGGGAAAACCAAGAGAAACAGATGGGCAGGTGAGATCTGCAAGATTACTCAGTGTAAAAAGCAGAACCAGGGTTAGGGCCTTGGTCACCCAACTCCTTGTTAAAAAAAAGAAAAAAACCAGGATAGTTGAGAGCATGCGGTACTAGAGGCTGGCTACTAGATACTAGATACAGTGGTAAGGGTAGTACCCCCGCCTTCCTTCTTCATGAGGCAAAGCTGATCTTTCTAGTAGAAGCCCAGAGAAGAGGGAGAGAACTCCTGGCTAGAAGATTGCCCCAGACTTCACCCAGGTCTGGGAGAAGCTAAGCTGAGGAGAAAGGCTGGCTCCAGGATAGCCCAGGAGGCTAGTAGCTAATCGGATGTCACTGAACTTCTGCTGCCATGACCTGCGCAGAGATGAAGCCTGTTCCCAGGAATCCCTGGAAGCTCGCACTATGGGGCCACAGCCCAAGGACTAGAGAGTCCCATCCCCTTCATTTTGGCTCCCTTGTGTGTATGTGTAGGCATCTTGTTCATGGCCCTAGGAACCTAGACTCATTTTATATCTCTGAACACCCCTCAGATTTGGAAATCAAGAGCCTTGAGTTCTGATCCCATTTCTTCCATTAATTTGTTAGGTATTTTTGAACAGCTGAGAGACTGCATCAGGAGACCGAGAAGGACTGGAGGGTCTCTGCAGACCTTTTGACTCTGAAATACTAGGCTTCTGTGATTGGTTGTCCAGCTCCTGGCTTGAAGTGTTGTGGTGGCTGAAGAATTGATCAGTCTCCCTGTGGCTGAGAGGACCCTTCCCAAGGACACAGCCTTCCTGGCCCAATTGCAAAGTGACACCTGCCCCCCAACTCCAGGACCATTAGAGCACTGAGCCCTAGGGCCCTGCCCCACCCCTGACAGGGAGAGGAGCCCAGGCTTGGGAGGCGCCTCCAACACCACAGCTCTTTGTTTCTCCTTAATGGGATGAGTTTCCGGGTGAGGTCCCATCCCTCCTCCCTCCCCCATCTCTTGCCCTGGGGCTGAGGGGCTGAGTCTGCAAACTGTTTTCCTATAGGTTCCCAGTTTCTAACTCTTTGAGTCTTGCGGGGGCCCTGGGAGTAAGCTGGTCCATGAATTCTAAATTCTGTCTTCTGATGGTTAGGATCAACTTTCTGTTGAGATTAATTTCCTAGAAAGGGAGGGGCCCCATCCCTGCTTTTCTGCTCCCGTTGACAGAGGTGGGCAGGCCCTTTCCTGTAGGGCCTACCCAAACCCAGAGAAGCCAGAAAGGGAGGTTTGCTTCCCCGCCCAAGTGTGGAGAACCAGGAGAATCCCAGGGAAGCCCTTGGCCCCAGTGACCCTGGTTCCATCCTAGCATTTTGTATTGATGCAGCGGGTGGGGGGGTGGGGGGGTGGGAGGGTGGAGAGACCCCCAGCTACAGAGATAGCAGTGATAAGGTTAATGTGCACAGTCCCATCTTCTAGAGTATAGCCTCAGACTCCAGGGGTCCTGGGGCCACTGAGGAGAGCAAGTCCTGTAGGGAGAGAATGCCTGTAGAATCTGGACTCCAAATCTTCAAAAGACTCGACAAAGAAGGGATGGAAATGAAAAGTGGCAAATTAAGTCAGGAGCACAGAGAGCAGAGGAACTTTGGGGTCCAGATCTGGAAACAGAATCTAAAGCAATTAAGTTTTAAATGGGAGGTACCCACCTGTTTTCTGGAGGAGAATGGGGGTACCATACCCTATCCTTTCACTGGAACAGGAGCCAACAGGGTGCCTGGGACTGAGGACCTGTTCCCATGGCTTTCTGTACCACCCCCACCCCCAACACGTCTCTCTAAAACTGTTCTGAAAGCTAAGGTTAGGGCTGTGATGTGGAATGAAGCTGGCTAGACACAATGGGAGAAGGGATGGGCAGAATTTGGGTGTTGGTGGGGAGGCTAGATCTCAGGGGTTTGAGAGAAGTTGAATTCTAGGTCTCCCACCCACCCACAGCGGTGACTCAGCAGGGCTCAGACTCTGGCTCCTGGGGGGTTTAGGGGACTTATCTGTGCTGAGAGCTGTGTCTAAGGCAGAGCCGCCTGCCTCATGAACTGTCCGTCCTCCCCATTGTTCCTCTTTCCCTCTGTTACTTACGTGGCCCCCCTCCCTAGACACTAATCTGTGGGTGGGCGCTTTGCCCAGCTTGGGAAGCTCTTGTTAAGCTGGGGGGCTTAGGAAAAATGAGGGGTATGTAAGGGAGGTGGGTGAAGGCGGAGGGAAAGTTTTTGGTTTTCAAAGTCCCTCAATTCCAAGGCCAAGGTTACGGGCAGAGGAAAGTCCAAAATAACCATTTGCTTTGTCTGTGTCACCTGTCCTGGGTGGACGGGGACTAGAAGCTTCCCTCTCATGTCTTCTCTTACCTCTAACACACCTACGCCAGCCTTCTCTGGTGAAGCAGTGAAGGGAGGGAGGCAAGAGTTAACAAAAAATATGAGACCCTAGACAGCCTGGACCCCTCCCCCTAGCCCCAGGCAACCCCCCCCCCCCCCAGCTGCTTCCCACCGAACCTGCATCAGACAGCTCTTACCCCAGGCCTGGAGCCAGAGCTGGTTTTTCTGGTGGTAGCAAGTAGCAAAGCCCTGACAGAGATTCCCAGGGAAGAATCTCTGCTTGGGGGGTCAGAGTCCTGAGGGGGCCCAGGGGTGTGGCCATAGGGGGTAAAAAGGGTGGGAGTCCCTTTGTAGGAACCCAAAGAGAAAAAGAGAGAGAGCCTTTGTTTTGTTTGTCAGGGAGGTTCGGTGGCAATTTCCCATCACCTGGAGGGACAGTGACCTCATCTCTGATTACCTCCACCTTTAGCCTGAGATGAATCTGCCCTGAAGTCTTGGGGTGAGATGGAGAGGGAAGCCAGGGGCAACATTAGAACGGGCAGAAGCCCAGAGCCACACGCTGACCAAATGCAGCTGAGCCAGACGTGCGGAAGCCAAGATAAACGCCATCAAAATATTTACTGTGTGTGTGGAGTTCCGTAGTAGGGTGATGTGGACTGTGTGTTCAGAGGGTGAGATGTATATGTCATGGTGCGTGCGTATATGTTCATATGCTAACACATAGCTCTTCCCTCTGGGTACAGAAAATTTAGGATGTAGATTTCCCCGAAGAGAGCTGTGAACACATATATTATGTATGAAACACCCCAGGTTCTTGCAAGGAAATAGTTTCACATTCATACGAACTAGAAAAACTGGCCTAGCCCTCATCCAAAGATTCAGACACAAAAGACTAGACAGTTATTACCTTTGTCACACAGACACACCTCAAGGACCCCAATGTGTGTACATCCTCTTATGCACCAATAGAAGACAATGATGGATAAAAGTCCCTCAAAAAAAAAAATCTCATTCTCAAACACATTGCTAAGGTTGGGTATCTGCAACTGCCAGCCTCAGTTTCCCCTTTTGAGCTTAAAGGCCAAGACTTACACAGAAAGGAAAGTAGGAGCCAAGGGAACAGAGTAGGGTGTAGCCAGCTAGCCCAAGCCAGGAATGAAGGACCTGTCTGGGAGCGGGCGGGGTACACAAAAGGCAGGGCCCCAAAGAGGCCTGAGGGGGCCTGGCCAGGGGTGGGGGAGGCTGAGGGCAGGGATCCCGTCTGGCCAGTTGGGCCTGTTCTCTCCCTTGCGCAAGGTGGTGGTGGCTGTGGCTAGGCCTGCTGCTCTGTGGCAGCTTCTGAGTCACTAAGGCTCCTGACCAGCGTCCTGGTGCTCCTTGAGAGGAGGGGTGGGGAGAGTCAGGAGGAGGAGTGCCCAGGAAGCTAGAGGCCACCAGCCTCAGCAAACTACACACGCAGCAGTAGAAGGGTCTGTGGGCTTGACCTGGCCTGGCTACTGCATGCCCATAAGGTGACCTCACCAGGCAGGCGGTGTGTCTCCTTCAGCCTGGTGACATCATCATGCTGACGCCAGGCAGGCAGTGGGTGGGGGAGAGGAGGAGACAATCCTGGCTTGCCCTGGCTTGGAAGCCTGGGTTCTTGGGTCCATTTAGCTCAGGACAAGGATCCTTGGCCCCAACTTCTCTTAACTCATCTCTTTTGATTTAGAAGATGAACTGAAGGCCATTGGAAGTGGGGATGCCTCAGCCTAAGATACTTCCACTAAATAGCGGCTTTAGGACAGTGTGGGTTTTGTAGGAGCAATTCCAAAGGAACTTTCCTGTCCCATTAGGTACCTCAGTCTGCAAAACTGGGGCTTGTACCTTCAGGATGAGGATTTCGGACTCACAGGTTAGGGACATTATGGATGGAGATGCAGGCATGTGATGGGTACCCAATTCTTACTGTGCTTTAAGGAGGTATCTTGGGGGACAGAATATGGATGACTTGTAGTGGGGGTAGGGGCCAGTGTAAGGGCTTGAGAGATGATGGTTAAGAGCACTTGTTCTTGCAGAGAACCTGGGTTCAATTCCCAGGACCCACATGGCAGTGACCAGCCACCTGTAACTCCAATTCCAAGACATCAGATGCTCTCTGCTAACCTACATGGCCACCAGGCATATAGTATACATATATGCAAGCAAAACATTCATACACATACAAAAATAAATAAGTAAGTAAAAATTTAACGATGGAAATATGGGATCTGCCAATGTCACAGAAATGTCTTTGGAAGGATTTCTATCTCCTGGTGGGCAGGACTTGGGGGTCCCTGTGACATGCATCCACATTATTGTGACTTAAATCTACATCAGTGTTTTGCAGCAGAGTGAGCTGAGAGCCCATATTGCACCCCACCGCCAGGCTTTTTTGACAACCTTACTCCCTTTAGTGCTAGGAGGAGGTACCTGGGAGGGGTGCAAGCTGGACTCCCAGGCTGGGCTGGGTGGGACCCATGTCAGCTTAGGCAGGTCAGGGCCCTGGTATCTGGCCCTGCAGGTCTGTCCCGTCCAGTCTGGGGCCCTCCCAACTCCCAGCAGCAGCATCCTTCCCTCCACCCCTCCTATCAGGGCCACAAGACCCATTCATCTGTCTCCCTGGAACCCTCTGCCCTACCCCATGCTTCATTTCCTCACTACATGCCTGCCTGTCTCCATCGCCTTCGTCCTTTGTCTGGTCCAGAGTTGCTTGCTCTGGCAGTGAACCCAGACAGCCAGTTTATCTTACCCCCGCCCCAAGGTTGCCATGCCAACACTTTCCCTGCCTCATCCAAATAAGGGACTGTGCCTTCCTCTTGGTTCTACTTTCTTTCTGCTGCCTCTTTCAAGCATCTGCTCACTCATTTGTATATTCTTTTTGTTTTTGATTTTTGTGGGGATTGAGACATTGTTTCCCTTTTGCTTGGGATGATGGCCTTGAACCCAAGATCTTCTTGCCTGAGCTTCCCCAAGTGTTGGGATAAGAGGTATGGGCTACCAAGTCTGGCTTTGTTCACTCATTCATTGATTCACTCAGTCAGTAAACATTCATCAGTGTCCAGTTATGTGACAGGAAGGAGACCACATACCACTGACTGAGCATGAAATCAGAAACCATGTTTTTAATATGTGATACGTGACCCTGTTTCGACTCTTTTGAAGCTCAATGCCTTGGGGAAGGAGAACACGAAAACAGAAAGTCTGATCTATAGGTTAAAGTGCTATGATTGAGGCTAAAGCAGAGGGGCAGGGCACTCGAAGCGGCTTGAGGTGGGGGAAGGGAGGGAGGACTCAAGAGGAAATGATGTCTAAGCAGAGTCTTAAGGCGTGAGTAGGTGTTCTCCAGACAGCGATGAGTAGGAGCAACCAGACACAGGGAGGAGAGCATTCCAGGCAGGGGTACAGTGTGAGCAAAGGTGACAGACAGCAGGGTGTGGGGGGGTACTGGTTAGAGGCAGGGATTATCAAAAGTTGGATGCTCTAAGTGGAAGCTCTGGCCATCCCAGAACACTCTTCTGCCCTGGCCCGGCCCCTGACCCTGGGTTTTGTTTATTTATTTACTTATTTTATAACCATAGGCATTCCCAGGCCCAACCTTCTTTATAAGCTACTCATTCTAGATAACCAGTTATCTTTTCCTGTTCCCCACCTCTCTCTAGTCAGTGACCAAATCCCCACCAAATGTCCCCTTTTATCTGCCCAGTACCACCTTGCCAGGCTACGGCCTCATGGTATCTGCCTCGGTCTCTTTCCATGACCTGTTTTCTGGTCAGACTATATGTTGTCACCTGCTTCATGCAACTTGCTAGCTAGGGAAGCTTTGGTGACTCTCCACTTCCTACTGACCAAATTTGAATTCCTTTTCCTGGCATGGGTAGTCCTGAGCTATTCGGACCCACCCTACCCCAGCTATGGTTTCCCTGCTGCTCAACACACACACCCCCTTAGGTTGGGTCCTCTTCTCTTTGCTTCCTGAACCAGCAACCAGTCTTTCTACTTCCTTAGGTGTTTGCTTACTTGATCCTCTATTATCAATGCCTTTCGAGGTCTCCCGGGCCTCCTGATCCCACTCAACTCACTCATGAAGCCTTCCCTATGACTCCCACATGCCTCAAACAACCTAGGACCCAGACACCAAACACTAAACCAGAAACCACCATTGCAAGTCAGGTGGGGTGGTGGGGTGGTGTATCCAGTAATCTAAGCACTCCAGAGGCTGGGGTGGGAGAACAGTGAGTCTGAAGCCAGCCTGACAGGCTACATAATTAGTCCTTTTTTTTTTTTTTTTTTTTTGGTTTTTTCGAGACAGGGTTTCTCTGTAGTTTTGGAGCCTGTCCTGGAACTAGCTCTTGTAGACCAGACTGGCCTCGAACTCCCAGAGATCCGCCTGCCTCTGCCTCCCAAGTGCTGAGATTAAAGGCGTGAGCCACCATCGCCCGGCAGTTAGACTGTCTTAAAAAGAAAGAGGAAGAGGAGGAGAGTGGAAAGAGGAGAAAGAAAAAAAAATTATCATTGCACGATTCAATGCCTGTCTGTTAGTAGCTAGATGATAGATAGATAGATAGATAGATAGATGATAGATAGATGACAGATGGATGGGTGGATGGATGCATGGATGTCTATCATTTGTATTTCTTCCTCCTAAACAGACCTCGAGTTCCATGAGGGCAGGAAATGGATCTTTACTTGCCAGTAAGGTTATATAATGGACTTATCTAAATTCAAAATTTCCAAATGCTTCCTACAGCTGCTCATCAATTACCAAAGCACTAGTCCTTCATCCCTGGTCCTCTGATTCTGGCTCAACATTCTGACAATTGCCGTGTACCTGCCCTGACCTCATCTCTCCAGGCCCCTGACCTAGGCGCCCTTTTTGTCTTCAGTGACTTGCTGCTTCCTGCCCCTAAGCCTGTTCATGCCATTCCTCCCACATGGAAGACCTCCTTCTCTCTGGGAATCCAGGACTCTCATCTTCAAGCCATGGGAAAAAGCGTTCCCAAGGGCCTTATCCTTCCAAAATGGCCCATCCCAAGCCCCAAACATTCTGAACATTTTCAACCGCTCTTCACCATTCCTTCCAAAAGCACTGGCTTTTACTTTTACCCCACTTTGTAGACTGTGCCTCCTGTGAAATTTGTCCTTGGTTTCCTGTTTCTCTGGGCAGAGATTCCATTTCCTGGAAGGCTGTGAGCTCTGTGAGGGGCAGAAGCTAGGTCTCTGGACCTGTTATAGTTTCTTTGTTCAAATAGAATTCTAGACGGCAACAGGGTGAGTCTTCCATAAATCATCTGCGTGGCCTTAGGGAAGCCACTTCCCTCTGGGTCTCAGTTTCCTCCTCTGTTAAATGGTGATAATAACGCCTACCCTCTTGGGAATGTTGAGTGGATCTAATGAGGTAATGGCTAGAATGCGCTTTGCAAGCATAAATTGCTCCTGGAGTTCCGGCTGCCTTTGCTGTCATTATCATTTTGATTGCGTTCCTTTGGTTCTGCCCCCCCCCCCCCCACTCTGACTTACTGTCTACCCCCTGCAGGCCGATGCCCGGCGGGTGAGCTGGAGACCTCGGACTTAGTGACGGTGGTGCTGGGCCAGGACGCAAAATTGCCCTGCTTCTACCGAGGGGATCCTGACGAGCAGGTGGGGCAAGTGGCGTGGGCTCGGGTGGACCCAAACGAGGGCACCCGGGAGCTGGCCCTACTGCACTCCAAATATGGGCTTCATGTGAGCCCCGCCTATGAGGACCGCGTGGAGCAACCACCGCCCCCACGAGACCCTCTGGACGGCTCCGTGCTCCTGCGCAACGCTGTGCAAGCAGATGAGGGCGAGTACGAGTGCAGAGTCAGCACTTTCCCCGCCGGCAGCTTCCAGGCACGGATGCGGCTCCGCGTTCTGGGTTAGTAGAGCCAGCTGGGCACAATCAGAATTCGTGGGTGTATGGAGGGGAACGGAGACAGGACGGGACTGCAGAGATGGATGGGGCAGAGGCAGAACAGGCAAACATAAAAGATAAGGCCATGTAGGGGTGAGGGAGGAATACCCAGTCCCTCCCACCCAATCCATAAATTCTCTCCAAAAGCCGCCAAAGCTGGGGAATAATACATATTTTAGGGAGCTTGTCCTTCCCACGGTCCGAATTTCACTCTGTGCACCTTTGTCCTTCTGGAACATGGGCTTATTCTTTCGAATAGCTTTTCAGAGAGCTGAGAACTTCTGGCAGACTCCACTTAAACGCCCTCGTTTCCAAGTTGCACTTACTGATTCTAGGAAAGACACCAATGCACCAATGCAAAGCTTTCTTCACTACCCTAGGTGCTGCGGTTTTACAATGTGAGAGTCACAGATGTGAACATGACGCCCAGCTGTGATGTGATATGTGAGCAGGGGAGCGGTTAATAGGTTAATACGCTCCTTGATTGGGACTTCAATGGACGTGATCTAAGACCACGATCACGTTTATCTATCTGTCTGTCTGTCTGTCTGTCTGTCCGTCCGTCCGTCCATCCATCTATTGGTTTTTCGAGGCAGGATTTCCTCTGTGCAGCTTTGGAGCCTGTCCTGGAACTCTCTTTGGGGACCAGGCTGGCCTTGAACGCACAGAGAGTACTGGGATTAAAGGCGTGTGCCATCACCGTCTGGCTCACAATTGCATTCTAAACCACTGCTTTGCATTATGGACAGTGGTGCTGGTCAACCTGTTCCTATGGTCAAGGTGTCTTTTCAATTTTGTGGTTGAGCTATTTTGAAGCTAGAATTTTTTTTTAAAAAAAACGTGCTTTGGGTTATTTTGAAGTTAGAAATAAAAAGCCTTCATGTTTTTGCTTTGGATGGAAGTTAGTAGCCTAAGTCTTGGAGGGGAAAAAAAAAACCAAAACTTGAATGAAAAAAAAAAAAGCTGGGCATAGTGATAAATATCTATACTTACACTGCTCCAGAAGCTGAGTCAGGAGAATGGAGAATCTGAGGCCAACACACACCCCAAAACAAAATCTGTGACTCTAGGCTTTGTCACGTAAGAGCTGAGGACCTGGAGCAAATCCCTAACCCTCCTTGAGCTTTGGTTTCTCATCTGAAGAGCAAAGCATAATAATACCACCTCACTAGTGTGTTAGCAGAATCAAATGAGATAATGCATGAAAGCATTTAGCCTAATAGTCGACACATGGTAAGCAGTGGTTATTATTGTTATTATTACATAGATAGTATCTAATTAGTTTTAAAATTATTTTATTTTTTTTAAAAAAATAACCTATGCACGTTGTAAAAAATTCTAATAGCGAAGAAAGATGTAAAGACACTTGAAATTACACCACTGATCTGGCACTTTTCTTAGTAAGATAAGAAAGGGGGACTGGAGCTCGCTTCAGCAGCACAGATACTAAAATTGGAACGATACAGGGAAGATTAGCACGGCCCCTGCACAGGGATGACAAGCAAATTTGTGAAGCGTTCCATATTTTTAAGACAAGATCTCCTGAGTAAACTGGGAGCATGGGACCATGGGAGAGGGTTGGAAGGGAGGGGAGAGGAAGGAAGGGGAGCAGAGAAAAATGTATAGCTCAATAAAATCAATCATTAAAAAAAAGTGGGGCTGGAGTTTGCAGCTGGGTAGGACTGAGAGAGGCCTCCTGACAGCGGATCTTCCATACACTCCTCTCCCCATCCACAGTGCCTCCCCTGCCTTCACTGAATCCTGGTCCACCACTAGAAGAGGGCCAGGGCCTGACGCTGGCAGCCTCTTGCACTGCCGAGGGCAGCCCAGCTCCCACCGTGACCTGGGACACAGAAGTCAAAGGTACTCAGGCCAGCCGCTCCTTCAAGCACTCCCGCTCAGCTGCCGTCACGTCAGAGTTCCACCTGGTGCCTAGCCGAAGCATGAATGGGCAGCCACTTACCTGTGTGGTGTCTCACCCTGGCCTGCTCCAGGACCAGAGAATCACCCACACCCTCCAAGTGGCCTGTGAGTATTGGGATAGATGGGTAAGATAACCTATGTTCTGAAAATAGTGCTAGGACCCTGTGACCCTGAACCACGCCAGGAGGGTCAGCCTGAGAACAGAAGACTTGGGGGCCAACCTAGATGCCCTGGGAAAACCATTGTGGTCTCTGTGAACTATATTTCAAGTGCTGGGATTAAAGGCAAGCCCCACTGCCGCCTGGTGTCTCTGTGAACTTTGTAGAAGAGACTGCCTTATTTTCACAGTGTTGATGGGAGAATAAAATATAAATTTGATACTGAAGGTATTTGCATAATATACAGTTTTAGAGTTTGGAGGCAGACTTGGGACAAGCCGCCGTTCTGCTATTTACCAATAGTTATTTAATCTTGTTAGACTTCATTTTATTCACCAGAAAATGAGTGTAATTATACCAACTCTACAGGATTTTGATGAGAATTAGCATCCTTGAATGCAAAGCATCTCACAGATTTGAAATCCTGTAAGGGTTCAGCAAATGATAGTGTGCTCCCAGCGTTAGACTGCAAGCCCAGATTACACCGCCATTTGGCATGAAGTAGGAAATCAACACACGTCTGTTAGGAAAATGAACAAACTGGCGGATTTTTAGGCCCTTAGTGAGCACCTGCTCGGTGAGTTAGCAGTATGCTAGGTGTCACCGGAGAGTCAGAAAGACTGAAACTCCCTTACTCCTAGGGACGGGCGGGCTTTGCAGCACAGGTCAAACAAAATAAACTCTGAGCTTGGGTGGGGGTGGGGAGCACGTGACAATGTAGTCAGGAGCTGTGGGTGAGGGGAGAGGGAGGTTGTTCGTGTAGGACAAGAGGGGATTCATGGATTAAAGCATCTTCCTCCTCCCTCTTCCCACTCCAGTCCTTGCAGAGGCCTCTGTGAGGGGCCTTGAGGACCAAAACTTGTGGCATGTTGGCCGAGAAGGAGCTACACTCAAGTGCCTGAGTGAAGGACAGCCCCCTCCCTCATTCAACTGGACGCGGTAAGGGCCTATGCCTGCAGAAAGGCCTAGCATGGGACTAGCATCCTTTTCTTTTCAGGATGAACCCTATATTAGTTAGGGCATATGTTCAGACCAATATAAAAATATGCATAGTCAGCAAATATTACTGGTGCGGTCCAGGGAATGTGTGATTACCCATGGGAATATGTAGATATCTTCTTGGCTTTTCAAAACCCCTTAACTTGGGCTGGAGAGATGGCTCAGCGGTTAAGAGCACTGGCTGCTCTTCCAGAGGTCCTGAGTTCAATTCCCAGCAACCACATGGTGGTTCACAACCATCTGTACTGAGATCTGGCACCCTCCTCTGGCGTGTGGGCATACATGGAGGCAGAATGTTGTATATATAATAAATAAATAAATCTTTAAAAAAAAACCTTAACTTTAAACTATGAACTAAAACTATGGTAGATATGAATCTTTTAACTATTTCTGAGTGCTAAAAGAGCAGGAGACAAAAAGACAGCTGGCTATAACTGCTGTTATACCAATGCTCCTTATAACCATCATGTGGCTAGCACCCCAGAAACACCCACCCCCTTCCACCAGCTCCTTCAAGAGCCCTTGTCTTTTCTTCCAAAGAATTACAAAAGGGTAGGATACCCATGTATGTGAGCCTATGATAGACATGTTCTTACATGTGGACATACGAACGATACATGTGGCCTTGTGCCTAGGGCTAGGTTTGTTTTCTCTGCCATGTAATATCATAGGTGTTGGAGCATGCAATCACAGTTTCCAGGTACCTCTGAGGCCAGCTAGGAGTGGAGTGTCCTGTTGTGTGGACTTTGTAACATGTATTCCTGTTACCTGGTGCTAGATGACGTGATGCCTGTGGGAGCATGTGGGATGGCACGCGTGTGGATCTTCCCCAAGTGTGTGTGGGGGTGCCCGGGTCAGGCTGGGCGGCAGGGAGAAAGGGCCTCTGCCTAGACCTGCCTAGGGTAGGGAGGGGCACCGTGGGAACAGCCTGAGGCTCTGGATGACGTCATGGGGGAGGGGGATGAATAGCTGCCTGGGCACGTTGGATGGTGGCAGCCTTAGCCTGCCCCAGCCAGCACCCTTCAGCTTCCCTGTCCTTCAGGCTGGATGGACCTCTGCCTAGCGGGGTGCGAGTGAAGGGGGACACTCTGGGCTTTCCCCCACTGACCACTGAGCACAGTGGCATCTACGTCTGCCATGTCAGCAATGAACTTTCTTCGAGGGACTCTCAGGTCACCGTGGAGGTTCTTGGTAAGCACAGTGGTTGGGGAACAAAGACAGGGAGACTGAATCAGAGCTGGGGATGGGCAACAAGAAGCAAGACAGAGAAAGAAATGGGAAGGAGTGTCTTTGGGGATGGTAGATGGGGCTAAACTGAGTGGGTAGCTGAGGATGTCTTCTGTGAGGATAATATTTGGGTAGCAATGGGGTCTGGGGTAGATCCAGAAAGGATCTGGGCATGCGCCTCAGACACAGCCTGTCTCCAGCAGACCCTCAAGATTCAGGAAAGCAAGTGGACCTAGTGTCGGCCTCAGTGGTGGTAGTGGGCGTGATTGCTGCATTCTTGTTCTGCCTCCTGGTGGTGGTGGTGGTACTCATGTCCCGGTATCACCGACGGAAAGCACAGCAGATGACCCAGAAATAGTGAGTACTGGCTACATCGAGTGGGTGGAGCCGAGCTGAGACCAAAGACAATGAAGTAGGAGGTGAATCAGAACAGAGGAGAGAGGACACTGGGTAGCCTATGACTGGACAGCTTGTCCACCAGAGATGGGCAAAGCCTTTGGGGAAGTGAGGAAAGCCTGGGGCCTGGACCACAGCTCGATGAGGAGGCATGAGCCTGAGAGAAGCCCAGATCCATATTCTCCGGTGTCATCTACTATGCGTACTTTAGCACTATGTGGCACACATATGCTCCAGCTATCGTACACAGGCTCAGCCAGGCTAGATTCGCCGTAGGAGGCTGTCATTGCTCTCAGGTCCTGACAAGGGGTGTCTTTCCCAGTGAGGAGGAACTGACTCTGACCAGGGAGAACTCCATCCGAAGGCTGCATTCTCATCATACAGACCCCAGGAGCCAGGTGTGTGCTAAGGATGGGGGCCTGTGTGGGGCGTGGGCACACGGGTTTGCTTGGGTCTGGGCTCCTCTACAGATAGGAACATAGCCCTATACCGGGTCTGGCTGCTTACTCATAGCTGGAGCTGAGCCGAGGCTGGGATATTAGCCGGGGATAGATGCTTTGGGGCTGCTGGGACTCCTCCTTGCAAGGCCCTTTCAGCCCTGGGTTGGGGGCTGCTCTAGGAATCCACCACCAGTGCTGGTTCCAGGGTGGGTTTTTGGGAGTGAGTGTGGGAAGGGGGATGTTTGTGTCAGAGAGACAGAGAACTACGGGTTGGGGGAAAGATGATCAGGGAGGAGGCTGGTAGAGGATGAGAGAGGTGAAGAGGCTGAGGGGAGGAGGCTGGACTCTCTTCTGACTCCTCCTCCCCTATGTCTGGGCTCCTGCAGCCGGAGGAGAGTGTAGGGCTGAGAGCGGAGGGCCACCCCGATAGTCTCAAGGACAACAGTAGCTGCTCTGTGATGGTGAGGCCCCCGGCCCCACCGGTGTCCCCAACACTCTCCTGGCCCCAGATGTGGTGTGACAGCAGCCCCCTCTACCAGTCCCTGCCTCTCATCCCTGGCTCCCATGTGAGCCCCGCCCCGCATTTCTGCTGTGCCTTCGTTCTCTGTCTCCCCATCCCTATATATAACACCTGCTCTTGCCCTCCCCACCCCCAAATTTCCAAGCCCCATGCCTCCAGGACAGCCATTACCCATGCTTTACCTGACCTCTGACCCCACCACAACCCATCCCTACCCTACTGTGTCTGCCTGTTTGATCTCAACTGCTGACTTATCCTCTGCCCTTGGTCTCCAGAGTGAAGAGCCAGAGGGCCGTAGCTACTCCACGTTGACCACAGTGAGGGAGATTGAAACACAGACTGAACTACTGTCTCCGGGCTCTGGGCGGACAGAAGAGGAGGAGGATCAGGATGAAGGCATCAAACAGGCCATGAACCATTTTGTTCAGGAGAATGGGACCCTGAGGGCCAAACCCACAGGCAATGGCATCTACATCAACGGGCGAGGGCACCTGGTCTGACCCAGGCCAGCCTCCCTCCCTAGGCCTGGTTTCTTCTGCTTCCATGGGGGATTTCAACTCTTCTTAGGGGAACCCTCCTTAAAAGCCTGCATTTCTTTAGGAAGATACTTCCCACCCCACTGACTGCTCCACTTTTACCTCCAATCCTGGTCATCAGGAGGGCTCCACTGATTGAGTGTCTCCTATTTGTGTGTGTGTGTGTGTGTGCGTGTGTGTGTGCGTGCGCGTGTGTGTATGGCATGCATTGTGCTGTCATGTTAAGAGTCCCAGCGAATGGTATGTGTGCCACAGGATTTGTGGCTGTGCGCAGAACATTGCTAGGGTGTGGCTCGTGCCTAGCATGCCTCATGTGTGACCTCTGCCTGCAGACGCAGGTATTATCCTCAGACCCCAGAGCAGTATTAGTGATGCAGAGGTTGGAAGGGAGACGTGGAGACTGTGGGCCAGATCCAGGTGTGCGGGCATAGCTGGAGCTAGAATCTGACCTCCAAAGTCGGGGAGCTGTGTTCCCACCCTTGGGGGGCAAGTGTGAAGCAGGCCTCCAGGGGTCTGCCAGAGGCTTGAACTGTTACAGAAGCCCTCTGCCCTCTGGTGGCCTGTGGGCCTGCTGCACATACACACCATACTGTCTGTAAATTAACCTCCAAGGGAGCCTCCTGAGGTCCCCTCAGGCTCCCTTAGTAAGAGAAAAAGAAACTTAAAAAACAAACAAACAAACAAAACCCTTTTTGTTACTGTGCATGCTTCTTGCTGGGCTTAAGCAAGGCCAGCCCACATAGGCATCAACAAGACTGTTTAGCAGACCCCACAGCAGGAGCTAATTCTTATGGTTCTGGAAAGTTCTCCTCCTAGGGCATCTTCACCCAAAGAGGCTCTGGGGAGGAAACTGACAGCTGGCGGAGTCTGGAACCAGTGGTGTGAGGTATAAACACGGGGAGAAGAGGGTAGAGATAGGGTGTTTGGCTCCCATGGCCCTTCAAATCTTCCCCGAGTTGTGTCCACAGTTCAAACCTTCACAGAGTTGGGACCTGGTGTCCAGGGCCCCTGGTTCAGTTGTGTAGAGGGCAGAGGGTAGCAAGGGAAGGGAGAAGTTCAGGGGAGGTTTGAGCTGCTGTGGGCGAGGGTGATAATAGCTCCTTCCCCAGGGTTTCTGAGTCATTAATTTGGGGCTCTTCTGGCGTTTTCTATGTGTGGGGCTTGGGATTAGATGTTTTTCTTTAGCCTGCCCAAACCTACTCAGCCAGAATACTGAGATTTACTATTCCAACCTTGTTTGGCCTGCAGTCTGGTCTGACGGAGAGGCTTTCATCTCATTCCCATGGACTTGTGGACCCCAAGGATCTGGGGTCCTAGTATGTATATTTTATGTAAATATATGTATATTTGTACATAAAATGATATTCTGTTTTTAAATAAACAGATAAAATCTTTTCTGTCTGATTCCTGTCTTGCCCCTTGACCTGGATAAGTCACAAGTGCGATCTCAGTGTCTTCCTTCCTATGCTCCTGGGCAGGGTGAGGACCCAGGTACTTGCAGCTAAGAAGGAACAAATAGCTTTCAAAACCCTTTTAGCCATTTCTGAGTGCCCTCAGGTAGGAGAGTGTGGACGTGACCTCCTTTAGGGGAAGCCAGTGCCTTAATGTGCAAAGTGCTTCGAATTTGACTGTGCTGGAAACTTCCAACAGCTGTGTGGGGTGGACAGCCGTGTAGTCTTCTACAAAGAAACTGAAACTCAGAAGGCAGCTGGTCTGTGTACTCGTTTTCAAAGGTATGGCAACCGAGGCTCAGTGAAGAAACGTGGCTTGACCACGATGACAAAGCCACCAGAGGCATCCTCCATTCTGAGTATATTCTGCCTGGTCCTTGCTCCCCGAATTTGGGTCTCTGGAGATGCCAACCACCTGCTCACACCCCAGGCCCCATTACTCCACCCAAGCGTCCTGACATCACCTCCCTTTGTGACCAATAGATGAAGTCCCAGCAATGATGAGGATGTGAATGTCAGCTACCTCCCCCACCGCAGGCTCTGTGGTTGCAAAGATGCTCTAACAGGAAGCGGGTTTGAGGAGCTGCACAGCTTCCTGCCCCCCTAGAGCTTCACAGTGCGAGAAAGGGCCAGGGCTCAGCTTGGCCACGAGATACAGCTTCATGCCAGGGTTCTGGTAGCTTCCTCTTCCATATCCACTTCCGTGTGGCCCCGAGTGGGCCCCAGAGGCAAGTGCTGCTGTCCGTTGCCCAAGCCACCCTCCACCTCCAGTTTGGAGCCCTGCCCTTCTAGGGCTGGGCCAAACCAAACTACTGACTGGGATTCCATGGGGGACTGGTAGGTCAAAGGTCTTGGGGAACAGAAGTGGTGGGGCCAGATCCTGGGGGCTCTGGCCATGAAGTCTCGGCAGAAAGTAAAGAAGAAGGGCTGCTCCAAGGAACGAGTGTTTGGGTGCGACTTACAGGAGCACCTACAGCACTCAGGACAAGACGGTAAGGAGGCCAACCGAGCAGGGGGCAGCGGAACGGGTGGGCGGACTGGCACGCAGGCACCGAGCTTGTCTTCTCTGGCTTGATTTGATCTGTTGGGAAGAATCAACTCCTAGGGCCCCGTGGCTCAGGATCACCATCCATGAGACCTGTGCCCAGGAAAGACAGGAAATGCGGCTCAGAGGAGGCAGAGAGGTTCGCTTCTGTAATAGTTGTGGGGCAGGTCTCTGAGAGGGTGAGGATAAGAACTCCAAGGGGATGCGAAGTGGGGGATGGTGATATTTATAAAGTCTAGAGATGCCGACGAATCAGGTGAGGAGACGGAGAGGGGGACAGAGGGTAGGAATGGAGGTCCTATGTCACGAGAGTGGCTGAAGGGATGGTTGATAGAAAAATAAACGGAGGTGGGATTGGGCCCAGTGGGTCTGAGGACATAGCTTGGGGAGAGTGGAGGGAGGCATCCTAGCTGGAGAACAGCACCAAGGGACAAGGACCTGGCCCTTCTGCATCTTTGCTGGGCCGCGGGAGGGTGTGGGGGAAGGAGAGACCGTCTTCTTTAGATTGCTTGCAAAAAAGAAACAGGTTTGGCGTAGAAGGCAAGGGGAGAAGCTGCTGGTGTACGGAACACAGAAAAGTGAAGGAGATGGTTTAAGCCCTGGTTTGAAGCTGGGAGTAGAAGCTGCAATAAAGATAGATGTGGGCACTGTCTGGAGCTGCCTCGGTTCCTTGCCTGGTTCCTTGCCTGGCTTACTACGCGGTGGCCTTGGAAAGCCAGCCTACCCAGGGACAAGCCCTGGCTCAGTGCTCTGCCTAACACGCGCTCAGAACCATGTCTTACTTGATTTGAAATTGAGCTATCTTGACTATACCGGCCAGCTTGTTTTCAGCACACTGAGCAACTTACAAAAAAGGGCATGATTCTGCCCCCCCCACTCCACCCCACCCCAATCTGTCATTTCCTCTTTGTCCCCTTCTCTGGTTGTGGTGCCTGCAGAGAAGGGAGGGCGATGGTGGTTCCCAGCTCATTTCCTGCTCTTAGCCCCGCCCCTGTGTCCCCAGACACCTCCTTCCCCTTTTCTCCTCCATCAGAGGGCCCCATCCCTACCAGCCTCCATTAAGGGAAAGTCCAGGCCCCAAGAAAGAGTGTTTGCAGCCGAGGTGGACTTTTCTGTGCCTTCCTCTTCTCTCTGAGCACACCTGGCTCCTTTACTATTATTCCACTGGCCATAATGATTCTTTAACAAAAAGTATCACACCATTTACTTATATATTTTGTATGCATGTTGGGAAGGGGCAAATTGGTTCCCCCGCAGGTATGGAGGTCAGAGGACAACCTGAGGGAACCAGTTTTCTCCTTCCATCATGTGGGTCCCAGACATCAAACACAAGTCATCAGGCTTGGTGGCAAGTACCTTCATCCACTGCACCACCTCACAGGTTGTATTTCGTTGTTGTTGTTGTTGTTGCTGTTTTTCAAGACAGGGTTTCTCTGTGTAGCCCTGGCTGTTCAGGAACTTGCTCTGTAGACCAGGCTGGCCTCAAACTCAGAGAGATACGACTGCCTCTGCCTTCTGAGTGCTGGGGGTTAAGATTAAAGGTGTGCACCACCATTGCCTGGCAGGCTATATGTATTGGTAGTATTAGTGTCAGTGTGTGTATGTGTGTGTCCACATGCATATGTGGAAGTCAGATAGCAACTTTTGGAAGCCAGTTCTCTCTTACCATCATGTGGGTCCCAGCGTTGAACTGAGGTTTTCGGGCTTGGTGGCAGGTATCTTTTACCTCCTGAGCCATCTCACCAGCACTAAAGGATTTTCTTTTTAATTTTGAGATTTTTTTTAAAAAATTTTTTATAGGCATGAGTTTTGTCTGTGGGTGTGTGTTTCACATGTGTGCAGTGCCTACGGAGGCCAGAAGAGGGCATCAGATTCTCACTGGAACTGGAGTTCCCATCCGTAGCTGCCAAGGGTGCTCTGAAGAACAGTCAATTCTCTTAGCTGAGGAGCCGCCTAGCCAGCACTAGATAACGATTCCCGACAGAGAGCCGTACATCTTCATTGGACTTCATTGGGGATGATGTTCTTGTAGTTCCTGGTAAACCCTCAGTTCAGCCTCCTTATCCTGGTTCAGCCCTTCCCTGTGGTTCCCATCCCCCACAGACAGCCCAGACTCCCCTTCTGGGACTCTCAGGGCCACCATTCCCAGCTGGTAAAGGTTTCTTTCTAGAGATCCAGGGATAATGAAAGGCCAGCGGCTCCTGGTTGCAGGTGAATTCAGAGCAGGTGAGAAATTACTTCTGTCCCTTACCAGAACTTCACCTGCGCTGCAGGCTTGAGAGATGACTCTTGGGTCTCTCGGGTATCAGTGAGAACTCCTCCCCTAATCCAAAACATCCTGGTACAGAGAGGTGTAAAGTGTTAGGGAAGAGTGAGGCTGGTTGATTGCAGCTTCTCTCGTTAGCTCAAGATCCAGCAAGAAATTGAAGGTCCTGGTAGGCGAGATCCATCTGCTTCTGGTGTACTGATTCTCCCAGGTCATCTTAGTTTTCTCTACTCTTACACCCTTGCTTGACTTTAGACCTCTTCCCTAACTCTTCTCCCCTAAATGGATCTTTCCCTGTCCCTGAGCCCTGCATACACTCTGATAACTTGCTTGTGTTTCTGATTCACTGTCGGTGCTTCTTTGACTCCACCCACACCCTCCGCATCATGTTGACTCCATCACCCCAGTCTTGTCTCTAGATTCC